ACAGTGTTGACAACAGGTGCATGTCTTGGCATGTCACGATAGGCATCATGACAAGGATTGACAGCTATGACTGAATGTGTAAATGTTAATTTAGGAACCCCAATAAGTGGCCACACACTCAGTAGTGAAAATTTTGTTTAACTTCACATCCTTAAAGTTGGATTTGCTTATGTTCCGACTCCCAAGATGAATGTTTTTGGCCCATGAACCCATGAAGGGTTGGTCTGATTGTAAGAGACACACACAGTGGGAGAACCTGCCTTGCTTGTCAACACTATTTCTTTTAACAGAAACTTAGTACCCTCTTCCAATCGTGGAGTAGATCCGTATGTTCGTATATACCTGCTTCCAGATAGAAGATGGGCAAGCAGGAAGAAGACTTCCGTTAAGAAAAAGACTCTGAACCCCCAATACGATGAGAAGTAAGAAAATGTTAATTATGATTGCTGCTGAAATAGTTACGATCTCTGTATAACGAAAGGGCTTACATAAGGTATGCTCCTGTTGCGCTGAAGGATTGTCTCATGTGAACATCTGCAGGTCTTCTGAAAAATTGGCACTTGAACTGTGGTTTGTAAGTACTTAGGGCTGGCCTTGCTCTGCCCATGGTGTTGTCTGTCACGCTGTAGGAGGGCACACCTTCTTCCCACCCCCTTCCCTGATCCTGGCAGAGGCGGGCTGCACTTGCTTCTTTGTGCACAGACATTCCCCTACCCATGTTTAACTCCCCATCGTTGCAGAGGCAATCTTTCCATTTGGGTACCTCACAAAGCCTACTTCTCTGTTCATACTTCTTTGCCCGATGCTTATTCCGACATCTTTCCAAAAGTCAAAGGCAGAAATACAAAGCCTTTTGAGACTGGACTGTTCTTTGGACAGACGGATGGATGTTGCCATTGAGACCTGGTGGGAGCAGGGTAAAATGCTCCCACCTCTTTGCTGACAGTTGGCACATCCGCAGCTTTGCCGCTGAAATGGAATGTGTTTTGTATAAAACCAAACACAGTAATGCTTCAAAAAATCAAAAGGTTGTAATGCTTTTTTTTTTTTTAAAGTAATGCTTCAAAATCAAAGACATAGAGCTCTTTTGTGAGGTGGTTTTAATCCCATATTTAGAGGAAGGTACACGCATATAAAAATATGTGAATTATAGGTGATCTTGGGTAACTCAGTTTTTTCCTATGTTGGGTCATTTCTGTACATGTCAGTATAGGTCAGAAATGGAGAAAAGATTTTAAAATATTTCATCTTAACATCAGAACACCAGAGCTGTGGATTTTGCTTCTGCCTATTCTCATGTAAGGCCACTGCTTTAGTGCCAGCACAGCTGTTAGGAACAGCATGTCTTTTTCCTCGCCCTCAGTATTGACGTGTCCTGTACATCCTCAATTAAGTATAATCGGCTGAGCAATGCTTAGCTCCAAAACACATTACCTGTTTTACAACTCTGACTTGAGGAAGAGCTATTCAGGTGGGCAGAACTGAAGTGATTTAGCGTGGACAAAACTCACTCGACATTAGATGATGTGTGCCAGAGGTGTGAGTCAGAGCCATTAAGAATTTAATTGCCACAGGTTTCAACCTTTGTCTCCCCTTCATGTGGTATAAGCCTACTTTGTAAACTTGGGGGGTTGGCTCAGCTATTTCCTCTGAGTAATAAAAGTTGCATGGAAAACATGCTGCTCTTCCATGAAGGGGGAAAATGATGGGACATAGCATTCATCATGGATGCATGCTTTCCTCCTTCCCCCTGGCACGGTGAACAGTCTGAAGAACAGTGTTGTCGTCTTTCACGCGGCCCTGAAGAGATCTCTTACAATGTGAATAAAAGCTACCTACAGGCTTGCCTTTTCTGTGTCTTCCTTCTCTGTTAAAGTTCTGGCCACTGATGCTGTATTCTGCCACTGCGTTCTGGCCGCTGATGCTTATGGGATTTTAATTTTTGACTTAAGTTTCTCCTTTCAAAACTTTACTTTGTAGGTTTGAATTCTTTGAATCTTTGGAAGACGTCAAGAAAAGGACACTGGACATTGCAGTGAAAAACAGCAGGCCATTCATTTCACAGGAAAGGAAGGAGCTGGGGAAAGTAAGTTTAAAGAAGTTACACTACTGGTTTAATAGAGCTGAGCAGCGAGCGATTCCTGTAATCCCCAGGTGCGGTTCTACTTAGTAAGTGTCAGTAATAGGACTAGCAATCTGGAAACAACTTTTTCCTGCCAGATTTTCATCTGAAATCAGGCTGTATCCATGTGGAAGCTTGCGTGGTCTCATACGATTCCTGTGCCGTGCTGCTTCATTTCAGAAGGGCGCTCCTGAAATAAAAATGTTTCCTGGGATCCGCTGCTGCCCGTTTGGGGAATGGCTCCAACGGTGCAAACACGAAGCTGAGAAAGACGTGTGATTAAAACCCAGAATTTGCCAACGGTGCTTTAAGCTTTCTGTGAACAGCTTTGGTTCTGTGAAAAGTAAACCGGAATCACTTCTTCAGTGATAGATAAATTTCTGAGTAGTGCTGCTAAGAAACTGAGCGGCAGCGCTGGGGCTGGGTAATGCCTGCGTCCTGGGGAACGCAGGAAGCTCGTTTTCCCTTGAGCCTGAGCTGCAGCCCTAGAACTTGAAAGTGGGTCTGACTGGGGAGGAGTGAGTGCCAGCTTAGCTAATCGATTTGTACGCTGGACAACATACAAAGAAACAAAATTTGCTTTTTAAAGGTGCGGATTGACTTGTCACGGGAGGACTTAATAAAAGGTTTTGCACAGTGGTAAGTTTTCCTCCCCATACTTCCAAACCCCGCTCGTTGCTTTGCTGGGAGTTTGCATGGCTGCTGTTGGAGTGCTGGTAAATGGGCTGTGTATTTTGGTGAGCAAGAAGAATATTTGACCTGCAAATGCAGGACTAACTTGAACTAATCTGGTCATTTTATCTAAGTTGTATGTTAATCCAGTTGCTAGTGCAATACCTGCCCTGTGAAACAGTTTTAATAAGAGGCCTGTATGTCAATTATAGTCTTCAGCATATTTTAAGTTACCATAAAAGCCACTGGGATGCATAAGTAAAAGAATTATGTTTATTAAAGTAACCTTGCAACAAATTTTAACTCTGATAAAGATCTTAACTAATACTCTGATCAGCAATATATATATAAAAACTTTAATTACAAAGCATTTATAGAAACTATTATAATAAGCCACTTGCAGTTTTGCTTGTATGTTCATTGTGGTTCAGACTTAAACCTTAAGCATTGGTCTGAGGCAAAGATTAAGAACTAGGGGGGGTTTTTTTCTTCCCCTTCTACATCTGTAGTTGACGACAGTAGTTCTTCCTTCTTTCTCCTTCAATGGAGCCCAAGGAATGCAGCGTGGGTAGTCCGGGAGCTTGCCATCCACGCAGGCAGTGAGCCAACGCTGGCCAGTGGGATAGGAAAACCGGGTTCCCCTGGCCCAGCTTGCGTCTGTGTCTCATGTAAGGATATGGCAATTACGGGAGTAGGAGAAAAATGACGCATCCCATAAGTTCCTGGTAGAGAGCTGAAGTTTGAGGCCATCTCTGAAGCCTCCTTTGCCATGCTGCCTGTGAAGCACAAGCGATAAAGCAGCCCAAGTTCTCTCTGTTGTGCCAGTTAAAACTTGAAAGAAAGTCCTAAACTACTATAATTACTTACTGTGTCTGTCTTGCAGGTATGAGCTGACAAGGAGCAGACGCAAGAAAAATTGATTTCTTCTCCTGTACAGAAGTTACTAATTTTTCAACTTTATATGAATGTACATATCTCCTGTAATTAATGTGTTTTGAACAGCCACTGCAAACTTGAAGCAGTCTCCAGCTCAGGACATGTAAATGTAATGATCCTACTTAGACTAGTTCTCACTGAAGGAAAACAAACAAACAAAAAAACCACATTGGGAATAGTTTGTCCCTAGATAGTCAGTCAGTCCTTTATTTTTGCTGTTTCTGAATACTCTCTTAAGGAAGTGTCGTACCTGGAGATATTTTAGACTGTCAGCTAAGCGTCATTACTTTGCTTGGCAGTCTCATTTCCCCAGGATCCTATTCATGTTTTAACATGAAAGCAGTGTCGTTTTAAAAGAATAAATTTTTAAACAGCATTCTCCAGCTGTAGGGCTACAGAACCTGTTGAAAGAAACTGTTTAGGACTAATAGCAGCTGTTTTCTGAGTTGATATTCTGCTGTTCAAAAGTATCTTAGATTGTGGCTGCAGGTGTGTATATAGTGAGCTTCCAAAAGCAGGGAGGTCAGTTTACCAAGATGTCATTAAGGTTTTAGTTTGTGACGCCTTAACATGTTTTGTTCTTTGTTACAGTACATTTCAAAATCTTGTAAACCTTGATAGTCAAGCATTCTGTCTGAGGAACAGCAGAGTTTTGTAAACTAAGCTTTATTAATATCGGAGCAAAATATACCAAAATATTTTTGGAAGCTTGGTGTACTTGTTTCTGTACAATAAACTTCTAACTGTCTTGCATAAGAAACTTGATCTATGCCTTTCTAAAACTGCCTTTCAAAATACGACCATGGTAACTTCAAGGCACAAGCCCATAAACCACCACCTGAAGCAAGTTTCAAATATTTTTGGCCTAGATTACATTAATCAAGTCTGCCTCGGTCCATAACCAGAAAGAATACTCTTCACTCTGTCACCGAATAACAATTTGCTCGCATCCTGAACTTACCTGAAAGTGTAAACAACAGTTTAAAATAGGCTCTCCAGAAAACCAAGACAGGCAAATGATGAAAGTGCTATGGCTAAGGCAGTTAGAGCACCTTTACCTCATACTTACCGTGTCAGCAACATTGACAATCCTTAGTGGTTGCAGTGTGTCTGGCTTTGTGCTGGGTTCAGTTTCCTAGACGGATACAGCATGTATTGGTTCTCCCTCTGGGATGGAGTAGACCAGTCGATAGTGGTTATAGTAAGTTTTTCTTAAATTGACCGTGAAACAAGAATTAAGAAAAATGAAAAAATGCAGCAGCTTTTATTTTTTGACATAAATCCGAAACTCTTGATTAGGGGAACAGAGGCTAGAGGTAGCTGTAATGTCACATGCATCAACAGGTACGTTCACAGGTAAAATACTCCAGTCTTCTCTAGCAAGATTTAACTCTCAACTAGCTACCAATTTCAAATTTCGCACAGTAGGTAAAATATCATCCGGGTTCCTGATCTCTGAAACAGAATGAAAAGCAAAACGGTAAGGTGTATGTACCTAGAACACCTTCAAGTTCAGCCAAAATTCTAACTTAAATGTTAAAAATACAGCTAGCGAATAAGCTCCTCACGCCTTTTAATGCTTTCGGAAAAAACTCAATTTAGCTTATGTTACAAGTAATACAACTGAATACATGCAACCCCACGTTCAATGAAAACAAAAGTATTTGGGTCACTTCCTGAGGAAAGATGGAAAGAAGAGGAGAGTGAGGCAAAAGTTAGCCCCTGCCCTCACATCCTCCTTGGTGTTTTAGCACACCAGGAGCAACCAACACACTTGTTCGCTATTTAAAGTTTTAGGAGGAAGCACGGGCATGAAGATAATTACAGCTGTTGCAAATATTACTCACCTAGAAGACAGAGCAAGTCTTGAATGAGAGCTTGAAATGGTGGAAAGAAGCACTCGTGTTCTTCTAGCTTATCGATTATACTGAAATGGGCAAGTGAGACTGTCAGATAAAAGGTGCAAGGGCATTTCAAGTTCATCTCCTTGGCTGTTTTACCATGCTACGTCATGACTTTCTGAAAACACCACTACTTAGTATATAAAGCCATCTACACGAAAAACGTCTTCTCAAGTTCTGAAACCCGCAGCCAACAAGTGTTAGCTGTCAAAAAAGGATCTCTAATTTCACTGTTTACGCCCTATATCCATCCACCCTTTCCTCCTTACATAGTACCAGGTAATTTTGGGGCTGGAACATTAGTCTATGTATGCTAAATGTACTGCCTGGGGGTGGCGCAAGGAATGTTTTATAAGCAGCTATTCTCTAGTTAAAACTGTGAGGGGTGCAGAAAGGTTGAGGGAGTTAGTGGTGTTAACTCGGCACGTGTCAGACTTGCTGCCTGCTGCAGTTAATTTTTAGTATGTTTGCAGAGCCCGTGCTGAATGCAAGCTCTTACAGTCCGCTACCAAGTACGCGTATGTTGTCATCTGTTGAGGACAGAACAAGATTTGTCCAGCTCCCAAAATACTCGTAGGCAGCTTGAGGCATGCACTCTCGTAGCGACTAACACACGTCAACATTACAGTTGACACCTCGCAACACTTTCTCCTCCCCACCCACGCCCAGTATTTGCTTTGTCTCCTTACGAAACACACATCCTATTAAGGCTTATTTGATTACATTACCCATGCAAACCAACAAGGTGTTTTGGAACCTTCTGGCCTTTGTTTTTCTCTTTGCCAGCTTTATCCTTTTGAAAGTATTCAAGACTTGTTTCATGTGGGATAGTAGTAACTCCTTTACTGTCACAGCTCACTGACTTTGCAACAAATTATTAAAGTTTCTTTCAGTGTCGGTTTTAGCCAGTTCTCTCAATTACTGAACTTGATGTTTGAAGAATGGTCACCAATGGAACAGCCCCACATACCTGTGGATGTCTTGGGTCCCCAGAAGCTGCTGTACCTGCTCAGTCACGTTCTCGTTAATTATGTCACACAGTTTCCCAACAGTATCCACTACCACGGTGGGTGGAGCTGAACTGTCTGTGGAAAAACAAACACTTTGTGTTTCTTATAACAGTAATAACAGGAAAGTATTTTAGACACAATCAAATTCTTGCAGGTGCCCAGATTTTATTTGTTTTTCACACATCTAGGCATACAAGTTCCATCGTTCACAGAAAACAAAGTGCCTACGGTCAGAAATAAACCAATGTTAGCCAGGAATGGTGACTCTCCCACTGATCCTTAAATGGCTAAAAAACTTGTCAGAGCTGTGTATTTTCACAGCAGAGATGGTGCTGAAGTGCACCCTACAATGTCCGTGGAAATCGGCCAGCTGAAGTTATGTATAGAGAGAGGGTTATTCGTTAGGTTCCTGTAACGCAGCAGAAGCACAGTATAGGGGCTAGGCCAACAAGGAACCCGCTCAATAAATACTTTGTTAACAGCTAGAGCTTGTTTCGGTATTGGATTTTACCTGCTTTGACTGCTGCGATGGAAGGTAACGGGCTCCTTGTCCTTTTCTCCCTCAATTTCAGAACTAGGCTTGGAGAAGGCATCCTTTGAGCTCCATTGGTTTGCGATTATTAGGGAGACACGAGGCTTCCCCATCTCCTGTGCTGGCTGCAGGCAGGAAGACTGCTTCCCTCCTTGAATGAGGCTCAGAAGACCTTAGTAGTCCGGGAGCCTTGCTCTCGGGCTGTACACCCTACAGCGCAGCCAGACCTTTAAACCCAAGAACAGCAGCAGCTGCTGTTCTCCAGAAGAGAACAGGTACTGGGAAGTAACTAAGTATGCCTCCGAGTACTGGCACTTAGTTTTTGACAGTCAGCAACTTCTTTTTTTACGTTTAGCAGCGTAAGAAGGAAGTTTCTGAGGACTGGACATAATTACACTTGAATGAGTTACTCAGTAGAAATCTACAGCAAAGGTTGAGTTATTTTTTCTTAAACTTGATATCTTTCAAGTGGAGAATGAAAGATGGTCAAGAAGAATTATGAAGTCAGCTCACAGGAAACAAAGCTTTGTGGAAAAAAAAAATTTAAAAGATTCAATTTCATCTGTTATTCCTTTCTTCTGCCTCCCTGGTATTCCTCAGCAACTGCTAAAGGCTTACAAATAATGGGCTTTTGCTATTTAAACTCCCAATTGACAGCAACCTATTTTTATCTTTGCAGCAAAGAGTATACCTAGTTTCCTCATTTCTCAGCAGCTCAACATATTTTCTGTGAAGAGATCAGCCTTTCACTTGTTTTCCTCTTCCTTTGGAAACGCCTGAACAAATGCTAGGTGGTAAGTCTTTACCTAGTTCCAGGAGCTCGTGGAGATTTCTCATAGCGTTGGTCATTTCCCCAAGCTTTGTGTAAACCTCATTCATTCGTGGATAAACGCCATTCAGAGAATTCACGTCAAACAACTTCTGGAAGTGAGAGACTATCGCAAACAGGGTTGGTAAGGGCGGTGTCTGGCTGTTCTGTAGCAAGCAGAAGGAATAACTCGACAATGTTACTGCTTAACAAAGCAAGGATTCTTTTAAACCGCGAAACGGTCTTAAAACTAGTCTATGAAGAAAAACGGCTGTAACTTCCCTTATTAAATCACGGCATTTCAAATATTCTTAAGTCTGAAGATGTATTTTACAGAGAGTTTTCAGACACAAATATCCAGCAAACCAAAAATACTCTTTTGAAAGCTTTCTTCTCTGTTGCTCAGTAAGTACATTTATGCATTCTCAGTGCTGACTGAGAAACAGACAGAACGTGATAACACCTGAGACTACAGGGCAATGCAAATTCCTTGTTGGTCAAAGGACTTTGATTAAAGCAGTCTTCCCCAAGGTCGATTTATCCATTATGTTAAAACGGTCTTTGACTATTGAATATCTTCAAACAGCTATTTCTTAAACCCCGCAAGGCTTTCAAATGCGCAAATCTAATCACTGTGTGAAGAACGCATTTAAGAATTCCACGTAACTTGTGCCTATAAACCCCTGGTAAGAATTACCTTTTCCTTATTTTCTATTTCTTCCAAAATTGCATCTACTATGAACTGGAGGTCTTCAACTCGTACGGATTCTCTGTTATCCTGTGGATCTGCAGTGTGCCAGGGCACCAATTCCAGAGACAGTTTTCTCAAGGACCTATGCAAATCCTTTTAAAAGAAGGGAGGGGACACAACTTATTTTAGTAACTTCTTAAAGTTGTTTTTATTATAGAAATGGGCAGATTTTCTGTTTCTCATACACAAAAACATTCCAGTACTGGACACAGTAAGGTTTTAGTTTTCATAGAATTTAAGCACAGTATCTTGCTTACATTCTTTGATTTGAAAAGTACACTGGTAGTCTAAAAATTAAAGTACTTCATATATTATAGGTTCAGTGAAATAAGAAGTGTTGGTCACAGAGAGTTTGGTTTTAAACAAAATTACTTCACTTGTAGTTAGAGCAAAAAGTCACTGTGCTGGCAAGACACTGTGCTGGAAGAAAGAGAATGCATCATCATTAATGTGTGAAGTACATCGACCCTAAAGCTTAAGTGTCTTCGTAGGGACTCAGCCAGCGAACAGAAACATTTAGACGATCCACGCAGAGGAGTATCTCTGGCCTGTAGGCACGCTGCACATCTTTCACTTTACTATGGTTTTACAGTGGTATATAAATGGACAGCAGAATTATTTTTAAAATTTAACACCAAGTCAGGCAATAACAAAAGCTACACGCAGAAAAAAGCCCTACATGTAGGGAGAGACCGAGGGGTGGTCAGCAGATTAAAGGAGGAAGGTAAAGCCGAGTACAACCATGCGTTACCTTCAGGGCCATTAGCTGATCTGCCCACATTTCCACAGTGAGCGGCAGGTGCTCAAATCCGCATTCCTGTCCATTCTCTTTAATACAATTTTGCACCGGCCCTTTACTGCGCCTGTATATTAACGGAGGAGCTCTTGGACTTCGCAAAATAGAATCAATATGGGACAAAACCTTCAACACCAAATAACAAGTGTTATTGCTCAAATAGGTATGACATTTTATAGTAAAATCCCTCTCCACCACAGTCATGATTGTCTAAACATTAAATCATAAATAGCTGCAATAAGTTACTATCGATGAATTTTACAGATGCATTCAAAGATTTAAAAATATACTCGCTAGAAGATGTGTAAAAGTAATGCAAACATACTTCCCTTTCAGGGATATTTAACATTTATCCACTTCAGGCATTGTTACTTCCACAGTTTACATTTTGCTAAGTTTTATTGCATTTGCTTTTTTTTTTAATTAAAAAAAAAAGACTATCTCATCAGGCATGTTTATAAACCGTAACATAAGGATCTGTTTTGCCCAAGACCTTGAACAAATCCCCCGTCCTGAAGAGACTTCAGCTAAATCATTGATTTGACATTTGCCCACCTAGTCTCTGCTTCCTTGCTGTATTTTCAGGTAGTTTACACTAAGATAGAACAATTAAGAACAAGCCTACATTAACTGCCAAATCCAGAACATTACGCATGTTGTGTAGAGGACTTCATATGAACTCTTAGATTCAAAATAGCATGCTTCAGTTTGCATAGTTAAACAAAACTCATGTGTTACATTTCATCGTAACAGTGCTAGATACACACAGTACAGATAAAATTTGCATACCCGTAAGTATTGCTGGCAAACTGCCTCCAGCTGATCTACTCCTGCGATACTCTCGGGTTCCTTCTTTTCTTCTGTTCTTTCTCCGGCACTACCCCCTGAAGATCTACACGCCAAATACATACAGTGGGTTACACAGGTAGCCGTAGCAGGAGATACCTGGTTCTTTAATCAAGCTGAAAGTAGTATGTAGCACATATACTTACACCTACAAAGTAAAATCTCCATTTTATGATGCCTGCTGATAGAATTCCATCAAACTGAACTAGCTGAAGAATATAATACCTAATGTAAATATCATTAATTTATCTCAAGTCTCCAGGTTGAGGTTACTCCAGACTGCATGCTAATTGAGAAGGGACACCACCAGATGTACAGTTGTTCTGTTACCAGAGGTTCTACTACAGCTGAAGACTTAAAGTCCAGAATTTTACTCAAAAGGGTCAAATTCCATGCTCACAGTCTTTATCTGCTTCTGCTTGAACATCTTTCCTGGCTTACTATATATATAGCTCACTACCCTTCTTGTCAAATCTAAGATGACCTTCCCTAAAACTACCGTCTAAGTCATACCCACTGCATGAGAGAAAAGACCATTGAAAGATACACAATGTAAAATGAAGAACTGAACTTTTTTAAAGCTTAAGTGATGATGTCTTTTTCAGGCTATAAAATATTTAGCATTCAGTATACACATGCGCAAATGATTAAGTGAAATTACAGATAAAAACACTTCGTCAATCCTGGATCTCTAATACCTTCAATGTATTTTCTTAGCAGTGTTTCAGAAAAAGACTAAGTCAATTTCTAAGAATAATATGGACATAATTTCAGTAGCTGCAACATTTTGCCAACTCATACTTTCTCATTCATAATCCGTAATGTAACCAGTAGCTTTCGTTATAGCTCACGGAAGCAGCAAACACCACAGTTTGGTCCTGTCCGTATTGCCTGAGATAGCACTCAAATCAAATCCAGAAAGACAAAAGAAAGTAGAAAAGACACTGCTGTGCCCCCATTTGGAGACCATGCCATCATTTCAGAGATTCACAGGGTGTCTTCGGAGGTACGGTAGCATTTGCTGCCCATAACCAGGCTCCGAGGAAGGGCGATAAGGTACGTGCTTTATAAGCTACTACCTACATTACAGGTTACAGAGTACCTTTGCATTAAGAAGTTCAGAGGATTCATGAGAGTTACTGAAGAAATATACTTACTGGATAGTTTTCTTTAAAGTTTTTTCTAGTTTCTTCACTTGGTGTTTGTAAAGTTTTAATTCCTGTGCAGTTGGTCTGTTAGAAGGAAAAAGCACCATATCATATGTCTTGCACTTGAAGGTATCTATAAAACTCAGCCAAGCAAAAGAGTAAGAAAGCTTTGTCAGTGCCACATCATCATTCTGGAAATGAAATTCTGCAATATTTCTACGTGGCAACAAGAAAAAACAGCAAAATAACCATTAGCAGTTGTTGTGATTAACAGCATAGGGAGGGAAGGTTGACTGTTCCTGTCAGATCTTCTATGCATCGCTTTTAAAGGCAGATTTCATACTATACTGTTACAATTGCTGGTGCTTTCAGTTTCTTTCTTTGTAAAGTAAAGTCTACCGAAGTGCCCTTACAAAGAATGATACTTATCCTTTCTCACCTTATTTCCAAATCTTTCTTGAGGTTTATATTTTCAAGCAAAAGCTGTTCATTCCTGGCTTTTGTTTCAACGAGTTGTTTCTGGAAAGACTGCAGCACAGACTGTGTTATTTCTTTTATTTCACTCATTCCATAATCAACAAGCTTGAACACTTTAAAGTACGTATGTGTTAAGAAGGGTTCCCATTTGCCTATATAGCAAGACAGCATGGATGAGGAATTAGTCGACTATGATCAAGAGCCTGCTGCATTAGACCGCAGGTGGAGAACCTGTGATTAAGGAAGTCTATTCAGTCCCCAGCAAAGACGACTCGCAACACAGTACGGAATCTTTGCATAAAGACAGCGAACCCTGCCCAGAGAGGTTACAAATTAAGACGACATGATAAGAACAAGGGGATAGAAATCAAACACCTGTATTTTCTTATGTGGCTCTTGAAGGGTTACCGTTTAGAGATCTGCACTGACTTATTCTTAGCAGTTCCGTACCGTGAGCAGTGCTCTATAATTAGGAGTAGCATCTAGATTTAAGAATTCTTCCTTGCTTTTTACTTCTCTCTGTACTTGGTCTTCATCTTTTTTATATTGCCTATTGGGAAAAATAAATTGTTTCAGCTTACTGTAATTTCATTACCTCAAAGACCTAAGTTGGCTTAGTTATCAGTTACGTATGATAATAGTGTTTCCATGAACTGCAAAGTAAACAGAATAGACATTTCTGGGAAGCTGTTTCATATACTAATTAAATGCACTTATTCCTCGAGAGAAATTCCAGTACAAGCAAATCCCATTTCGGTTTTCAAAGATGATAATCTCAAATTATAGGAATGTCTCAGATATCTGCTTGTTGCTTTGTACCATGTAGGCACCGCAATAGAGCTGGAAAGCTGCTATTCCTTTTGTTTAGGGAAATCAGTTCACTGAGCTCTGCTAACGCAGTAATTCTTCTGCCTGTGAACCACGGCAAAAGGGGAAGGGGGAAAAAAAAAAAAAAGAAAAAAAAAAAGAATTATAGCTCAAGTGTCTAAATACCCCCAACTTCCTAGCTGTCCCGGCCTCCTGACTGAGCAGCTGCTTAGCCTGACTGACAGCTATTCCCCAGATGAATCCAAACTTCCACAACCATTACAATCCTTTGCTGTTTCTTACATGCTAGTGACATCTGGAACACAGAATATTTACCATTACAAGCTTTAAGAACAGTGAGGAATAAGAACAATTTTGAACAGTAGAGCCATAAGGCATTAGATAAGACCTACCTTAGCTCCTTTTTCATTTGACTAATTTGAGATTCATAATAATCGATTAGACAAAGGAACCTGAAGAAAGGAAAAATGGTATTTTGAATTTCAGATATTCTCAGAAAAATCATGCCTGAAAGATACTGTGACCAGCCCACAGGAACAGGCCAGCTTACAGAACTGCACTGCGCTTCAGAAGTGACTGCGTCGAACAGTGGGTTCTCTCTCATACCAAACACACACAATCACAGTTTTCCAAAACAGAAAAGTAGAGACATTAACTCTGCACTAGACTAAAAGTGGCAAAATTACTTAAGAGGAGACAAAAGCTACATCCTCCTGACAGCTTCCTCATCTTGCGCCTATGTTTACCCAGCAATCTTAACAGCATGGCACAGTCCCAAGTGCTAGGGCTCAGCGACCATTGCGGGAGGTAGAGAGCACAGGTCCCACATAGCCTGAGAAGATCTGTCTCCAAAGAAACTAAAAGTGCTTTCAAAGTAAGTGGTTGCAAAAAAATAGAGCCACAAAAAACTGAACAGCTGAGAAACTGCCTTTCCTCTCGAGCACTCTGAGATTGTCTGTTTCAGAGAGACAAATGGGAAAGCACAGGGAACCAAATTCAGTGATCCTTCTTCTCATGCAGTGAGGGCACGAGAAAAGGGCTGCGCACACACAAACCCTTTTAAACGCTTCCCAGGTAAAGGTTACTAGACCGGCCTGGAAAACCGGGCGACATCAGCACAATAAAGTGATGGCTACCTGAGGCCTAAGAATTGGCAAATCTCGGATTATAGCAGAACTATGGAGGTCTTACCGCAAGAGACATAGGCTTGGAATACTTTCTCAGAACTGCCACTGAAGTACCTGGGAAGCCTTACAGCAAGCCTGCAGTAGCAGTTGCAAAGACCGGTTGCACTGCAGAAGTGACTGCAAACTGGACAGGTTTGGGTTTTGTTTTTGAAGGGTGGTGTTTGTTGTTTCTTTAATTTACATTTTAAAATGTTAGAACCCCAGGATAAGAGCACCCTAGCAGATACTGCAGTTCCAGAGTAGAGTGAATCATTCCCTTCTCTTTGCTGACACCTAGCGTATACAGGGGCTGACAGTTTTTTTTTTACTTTCTGCCATAAATTTATCCAGCTCACATTTATTATACAAGAAAAAATTACTGCATTGATGTACTTTTACAAGAATTCATATTTCTGCTTGCACTCCTAAGGTCTCCAGCTTTTTTTTTTTTCTTTCATATAAATATCAAGAACAGTAGTTACTTTAAAATCCGTTTCTTCATTTAATGTTACAGGTCATTCATCAATATAAGAAAATTGCTTACTGCTGATCTAGAAGAGACTTGGGAGCTCTTTTGCAAAACCGACAAAACATTTTGTTCTGAGTGGCAGCACGCTGTTGCTCCTCCATCCCAACTTTGCACAGCTCCTTTTGCAAACGGGCAATGATCTCTTCCTGTTCTTGCAGCTTCTCCTGCTGCTGTTGATACTTTGCCTGTGAAGAGATAATGGGAGCATCGTGAAATTATTCTAACCCACAAGCTGGAGACTGTACTGTACATGCCCAAGTAGGCACCTGGTCCCAAGGAAGCTTTGTACTTGGGTTTTAGCCATACTGAAGAGGCAGTAGAAGAAGGATACAGATATTTTTCTAAGTTATCGCTAGAAAATTCTGTATAGATTGAAAAGTCTTAGCTATAAATAGTGTACTAACCCAAGACTCATGTTTATTTTGATCAATGCAAATATTTTTAGAGCTTTTAAAAAAAGTCAAAAGTTTGAATCCTTAGACAGCACTATCTGAATTACCTGTGAAACCTGTTGGTCTTTTTGAAGTTCTTTGACTTGATTCTGTTGCTGGCAAACTTTAGCTATCGTCTCATCTTCCAGCTGACAAATTTTGGACTTAATGTTTTTCACCACATTTTCCAAATCATTAGCCCGCTGTTCTTGTCGAGATGCCCGACCTCTTTCCTGTCGTATCTCATCTCTAAAAAAAATAAATAAATCCTTGATTTAAATTAAACTCATTTCACTAAATACAGTGAAGGAAGTACAGGCCTGACAAACATTATCTGATGACACTCAATAATAGCCTGTGGCAGCAGATATGGGAAATATGCTGGTATGGGAAGAAGCAGCAGATGAAATAACATAAGAGCTCAAAAGGAACTAGGCCAACATTGCTGCATACTGGACAAAAATCTCAGGAGAAAAGGTCTTAGGCCTCGGGTGTGACAAGAGCTCCACCTGGCAGAAGATGGACACTGGTAAGACTTTTGCTTTGCATTAGCAGCTAAGTTCCTTCCACTGCATCTTACCTAAGGTAACGATTAGCCTCCATAAGCCCCTGCATCATTTTCTGCTGTCGGTCGGTGTCTTCCACCAGCGTTTTTAATGCAAGTCTTATTCCTAGAGAAGACTGACTGTCTAAGACAATCATATCTGGAGATACATAAAATAAGCAAAGTCATAATGAAAGGCTTTTAATAGCTGAAGAAGATAGCATCTCTGCTACCATTTGGAAGTGATGGCTTTAGAGATGCCTTACGAACATAGGCTTACTATTTCCAAATACAAAGACATATAAAATTAGCATTTCCTTACCTGATATATTTCTGCAGCTTTGGGGGGCAGCAAGACTCACCGGTTTCAACCCACGACGCATTAATAGCTTGTTTAAGTTCTCCCATTCTGCCTTCTCCTGCTGCAGTTGGGAGAAGAGGAAGAAGAGACAGAAACCTGAGTTCTCAAGACCAGCTCACGGTCTCCTGTCCTTCCTGTTGTGCAGGCAGTGGAGGATACCAAATGCCCCCAAATAAAAACAAACCAACCCCAAGCCCCCAAGAAGCCCCAGCCACTATAGGAGGACTTGTGAGACCTTCCAACAGGATCTGCAAAAAATACTGGGAAAAAGTGTACTTAACAATATACAGAATACTCAGTTTTTCTGATCGCTATTAGAAGGAGAAATACGTGCAATGAGCAAAATGTACCTTTTTAAAAAACCCAGACAACCGGCCCTCGGGTAACCAACGCACCGGGGGTGCAGTGGGCCTCGACCCCCTGCCCCAGCCCCGAGAGAAGCCCTCAGAGAACGCGGGTGCCTGCTTTGGGAGTTTATTGTTTGTTTGTTTTCTTTCTGTTCTGTTTTTAACTAACAAGCGATAACAACAGCCACCTCAGGACCACCACGGTACCTCTGTCATGGCGAGGGACGCCCGCTCCCGGACCGCCGG